TCACCAAAGTTGCCTCGGCTCGGGAACTTGGGTACGATTGGGGAAGGTCAGCTATGAGCACCCCCTCTCGCCCGGTCCGAAGACCGGCCTCTACTAACCATGACATCTGATTTTAAAAACATTATGCGTTATTATTCCGGTTATTAGCCTAGATTTACTACATGATACGCACAGCAAACAAGTATAGACTAAGTCGCCTAAATTGGAACAAAACATTTCATGTTTGGTTATTTGAGAATGATTTGATGGTGCTACCCGCGAGTAGGGTAAGACATGGATTTTGCCACCCTCGAGTGGGCTTAGAAAATACGGTTTTGCCACTCTCAAGTGGGCTTAAAATCTGCATCCAATGCATTGTTCCAATTTAAGTAACCCAACCTTCACCCACAGGCATTCAGGCAGTTATAACACGTAAGCACGTAGCCTCATGGTAAGCATGCTGTCATGGCAAACACTCACACTCATGCAAGATGCTAAAGCATAAAAGCTTACCTAGTACTCTGAGCCAAAACAAAAGCGAGTTAGTAATTAATGCATGATCCTAGCTCATGTTAAGATGGCTAATGCAACACATACAAGATGCAACTACAATAGGCTCGGCTATTCTAAGATGACATGTGATGATGCTACAACTAACATGTATTCAACTTTGGAATTGAAATACAAATGCAGTTAGTATGATGCGCCGAGCCCGGTGCATGTAAGACAAATATATGGATACACGCATGCTATCATACTGTATGCTAATTGAAACATGCCCTAGACTAACCATCGAAAGCTAGTAAATAAAAGGGAAGAAAGACGTGGGGTTGGGAGACATACACACACTCACGCACACTTATTACACAATTGCCCTCGCTCGGAGGGTCTGAATAAATATTACAGTCTGAATAAATAATACTAAATTAATTATTACAGAATTTCTAATTAATTAATAAATTGAATGCAGAAAGAAGGTGGCCACAGCCCCGCCTCGGGATGCGTGAATGATGTGTGCTTGACTCGTCTCACCCAGAAACTCGCTGCCATAGCATTGTTGCCTCTGTTTACACTGCCCTGCTCCTCTGAAGACTGTGAAAATTCTTGGGGCACCTCTGAACTGATTCTTGATCACCCTGGAATGTCACCGGCCAATTCAAAACACCACCGGCCATGGGGATGGGCTTATCGGCTAAATGTTGTACCACCGGCCAGCCACCGATGGTCGGTCGGCACTGTAGGTGGCCGGCCGGCCATTGTTTCCTGCAGAATCCTGCAGTTGGCAGCAGCAGAGGGCAAGCAGTGTATGGCATGGAATTTTCAAGCAAATGTGAGCATGGCCACACTCCCTATCATGCAATGTACTCAAGGGAGCATGGCCCTTGACCCTCGGACCATCAATTATGCATTTTGGTGCATGATGGCCTAAGAGGCCAAGTTTGCCATTCAATGTGGAAATACATTCAACAAAAGAGATGAGTGCCTCACGCCCTATCATGTTGAGCTCAAGGGGGTCGGCGACCGAGGGTTGAGACGTGTTTTGTCACTTCAAGTACAAACACTTCTCAATCCTCATACTTGGTTTGACACCCCAAACCAAGCAAAGATGTAATGCACATATGCCATATACAATGCAAAGTAATGTAACTCATGCAAGGCAATATGAGCATGCTATGCTAATGCAACAAGACACTATCTAACCATGCAAGCTAGGCTAATGCAATATGGACATATCAAGCATACAACAAGGCCATGTAATGCCATTAACTAAACAACATGCAAACATGCGAGGATGATACAATGTAAGCATGCAACCAATGCAATGCAACATGCAAGCATGCAAAACATGTAAAGATGGACTTATACTGAAATGAGAGGACCTCAGCCCATCCCAAAACAGTGGCCTAAAGATAATGCAAAATGGGACAAATTATGCTCGCAAGCATGCACACACCAAGGTCCATCACCCAAGCATGGAAGGGGACAACTCTAAGCACACATAAAGAAAAAATACTTGGACATTAAACACTCATGTTAAACTCTGAAAAGCATGTAAAAGATGACACCAAAACATGCTAGGGAATGGATGTGAAAAGGGAAGCGTTCAAGGCCAAAAAAAGTAGTATTCTACTACAACCACCCCAACCACTCATGGCATGAATCATGCAACCAAAAACAAAGTTTTAATGCATCAAAATATGCCCCAAAACCCACTGATATGGCAGCCCCAAATGACTTAAACACAAGGCATGCACTATAACCCTTTTTAAGGCACAAAAGAACAACCCTTCAAGGCAAGAAAGTGATGCTGAATGTAAGCATACAAGCATGGATTAGGGGCTGAAATGGCATGTGAAATGACTCCAAATCATTGAAACAATCCAACTAAAGCATGCTAATGACTCACACTCTCAAGGCTCACAAGCCAAAATACAAAGGGGCTATACCAAACATGGAAAATATGATCAAATTAGCACCCAACAGACCTCAAGCATGGTAAATAATGACCAAAAGCTTCACAAAGCTAGGTAGAAATATGCAAGCATGAGGGTTTAATGGCTAGATGCATCTCTAGGCAAAATGGGGGAATACAAAGCAAGTGTATTAAGCATGGGAGAGGCCATTAATCCGACCCAAAACAGAGACATATTATGATAAAAAAACACCTAAAAACCTCTGAAATGGATCCAAAAACAACCAAGCACATATGCTACCCTTATGAGGCCAAAGCATGCACAAATGAGAGACCAAGGGGAGAGGGGTGTCCCTCCCCTATGCAAGACTTCAAAACCTCTTCTTCACCACTGAAAATCCTCTAGATTTCAGTGGTGAGAAGGCCAATACACCAAAGTAACAAAAGCTTAACAAAGGAAGCACAAAAAGGGCCAAACAAGGCCTTAGAGGGGGAGGTCGACCCCCAACACCAAAACAACCTTAATGAAGTATCTTAAGCATGAAAATACAAGACTTTTTTCAGATATACACAAAGTCTAAAACAGTGAGCAAGATAGGCTCAAGGCTAGTGCAAGATTGGGAAATATAAAGCAAGTAATGTTACCCTTGAAGAAGCCTTGAAGAACAGCAAGCTTAGGCCCCTTTTTGTGATCAAAATCAGCTCAAAACTTCAAGAACAAACCCTCAAGGCCTCCCAAGTCAAAGTATGGTGTAATAGTGTGTGTCTTAGTGCAATACTATGAACTAAACACACTTTTAGGCTATAAAACACACACAAAATGAAGAGAGAGAGGGAGATATACAGAGAGAAAGTGTATATCAGATACATATATATATATATATATATATATATATTCTGCTCTGGTTTTTGCTCAACCAAGACAAAGGAGGGGGGAGGTTCCTTATAAAGACAAAGGAAAGGCTCTAAGCTTCTTAGAGAAGCTATTGCAAAAGAGGTCAAAAGAACCAAGCTTCCAATGGAAGCTACCCCAAAGGTGCAAGCTTCTTGAGGAAGCCAAGACAAGGGGTCAAAGCTTCCTTAAGAAGCTTTGACCAAAGGGTGCAAAAAAAAGGGGTCAAAGGTGGAAAACAACCACATATATGCACAGGGGCAGGTCTTGTGCATTCCAGCTGGCACAGCTAGGATGCACCATGCCTGAAAAAGGAAAAAAGGTGGTACCGGCCAGAAAAGGAGGCCGTCGGCCAAACATATGGTCGGCCGGCCACATCAAATGCCGACCGGCCAATGGTATATTTCACCACTGGCCGGTAGCCTCAAAACATGGCCGGTGGCCTCAAGCCATGGCCGGTGGGTACTAGGGGTAGCTAACAAGCTACTCTCTACCCTCAGAAATGAAAAACACAAGTGTTTGGTGCAAAACCAAACACAGAACAGTCGAGTTGAGAGATCCTGAAGCAAGGCGCGTAACCAAGACCTCCGGGAACTCAAAACGAAACACGAACATGGGTAATCACCAAGTGTTCCATCGGTGACGTCCAAGTCTTGAGAACGGTCAAAAATGGGGTGTTTACAGTGCCCTTCGTGGATAAAGACTCCCGGATTCGGAGCCCCATCCGTACAGGTCACGTTTGGGCCGAATAAAGACTCTAGATTCGGAGCGCCCTTCGTGGATATCACGATTGGCCAAGATGTAAGTCTCTGGATTCAGAGCCCCATCCGTGTAGGTCACGTTTTGGCCGAATAAAGACTCCAAATTCGGAGCGCCCTTCGTGGATATCACCATTGGCCAAGATTTAAGTCTCCATATTCGGAGCCCCATCCGTATAGGTTACGTTTGGGCCGAATAAAGACTCTAGATTCAGAGCGCCTTTCGTGGATATCACGAATGGCCAAGATTTAAGGCTCCAGATTCGGAGCCCCATCCGTGCAGGTCACGTTTGGGCCGAATAAAGACTCCGGATTCGGAGCGCCCTTCGGGGATATCACGATTGGCCAAGATTTAACCCTCCGAATTCAGAGCCCCATCCGTGCAGGTCACGTTTGGGCCGAATAAAGACTCCGGATTCGGAGCGCCCTTTGTGAATATCACGATTGGCCGACAAAAAGCCTCTGAATTCGGAGCCCCAGCCATGCGTAACACGTTTGGGCCGAATAAGACTCTGGATTCGGTGCACCCTTCACGACGAAGGTTAAAGCATACAAATATTCAAAGTGGAATGCTTCATTAAGCAGAGCCGGCAAAAACCGTTTACACTTTAAAGCATACAAACATTGAAAACGAAATGCTTAATTAAGTTGGGCCGGCGCAACCGCATAAACAAATTAAAACATGCAAAAATCTGAAATGAAACACAAACATTTAAAATAAAATATTTTATTAAATTAGCCAATAGGTACATAGCTGACGCCCAATCTGTGTTGGGGCATTTACAATATATATTGTCACGCCCCACTTTTTATTACTCGAAGTCATTACCAAATTCATTAACTTAATTCAATTTCAAGGATAACATGCGGGAATAAACTCATACATTCAATCCGTAGAAGTGATTAGCAATACCCTCATCCGTATGCAAAGTAAATATTACATGAACATACTAAATAAATTGCCCTTGGGCTTACATCACTTAAGGCACAAGAAGAAGGGTGTAACCCTTTTGCAACAATGGCATTCTGCCCACATAACTGAGGCCCCGTGGCCTATAAATAAGTAAATCCAAATCTTGCAGCTCAACCTGCTTAATACCTGAAAAAGATTCAACAACGTGGGATGAACATATAGTCCAGTAGGGAACTCAACATGATCCTCAACAATAACAACTTACAGATAGCTATGATCATGAACACTCGTTCTCATACTAGAATAGTAATGTGACAGTTTATACAAAATATATATGTATGAACTTTTCTCAAAAACAACCGTTTCATTCAATGCTACAAGTGGTTTGTCTTTCCTTTTCCCTTTCATTAACCCCCATTCCCAATCTTTCATAACATTAACAAATACTTAGGAAGTAATCTCACTAAGCCCGATACTCTCTTTCACTTCCTATACATACTCAGATGTACCCTTTTCAAACATGTTTATCTTTAAAACATTCATTCTCCTCCACACTTTCCAAAAGACAAAAAAAAGACACTTTGGTTCGTTTCTATTAATATCATAACTATACATGCATATCTTTGTAAAAATATAAATTTACAACCCACCAACATGTAGACAATCAACCAATGGAGTAAATCGGTCCTCCGAACTGTAACCAATCAAATCCATGATATTTTCAGTTACAACGAAGCAACAATAATCCCACTTTGCTCTACTACCTATCTGTTTAGTAAGCCAAAGATATACTGAAATAACCACAACTAACTTCGCTCTTCTAGCTATGTGCGTAGTAAGCCAACAATACACCCCACTCAACAACATCAACAACAAGCCAGTTTACCAAGCGCTAGCTGGAAGGGTATGGTGCCTCCGATTATTAGCGCGGTCAGTTCTCCAGGCACTAGCTGGAAGGTAACGGTACCTTTGATTCTAAGCACAGGGTATAACACCAACAATCACAGCACATCAAGGCATAACCAACATGTATAATGCATATACATAAACTATCAAGACACCAGCAGTGTGTTAAAGTATATGAACACATGACTATCTCCTTCTGAGCAAATATACATATATATAATGTATCTAGCACTTCATCACATATGATGTTCACACCGATGACCAAGGACAAAACCTCTAGATGCATACAGTTAGTACATCTATTAAAGACTCAAATATCATGAATCACAAACCCAACAACAATATTAACATGGTAGTTAAAGATACAACTTCTACATGTGTGTTCAACACTCAAGATACAACAATCCAATTCTCAAACTTATTTCGAAAACACTTCCCTCATTTTCACAAAAACGATTCCATTTCCTTTTTTGTTATCACAAAACCAACTCCACTAATCTTGTTTCCATAAAATCAACTCCAAAGCCATGGTTAATCCCTTAGGCATTAACACCCTTACCACACTTATTTTGACAAAAGAGATTTACACACAATGGTCAACAAATCCCCATTTTAATTTACCCAACCCAAAATATAATTTAGGGGCTTTCTTCTATTAACTACAACATGCTAATTTATATTTTAATTAACCAAGACAACAATCAATGAAGCCAAAACCATTCTCCACACAACCAACCCTAGATTTATTTCATAACTTTCAAACAAATCCAACATGATACAATTTTCATGCAATACAAAAATTACCACATGTCTATCTATAGACGGAGTATTGAAAAAGAACAAGGAGAATCCCTACCTCAAATGGAGAACTCAAATAGAGAAGATGATCCGAAATCAAAGTGCTCCAAATCCCAAATTTCTTGGATCACAACGAAGCCCTCGACGATCAACACACTTCTTACAAAGGCCCAAGGTGAGGAAAACACTCTAGCTAGATCAATCCTAAGAGAGAAGTTAGGTTTTAGAGTGAGGTGCTCTCAAATGGAGGTTTTGAAAAAGTAAGAGAGAGAAAGGAAATCAAAAAGTGAACAAAAAGGTTGGATCTCGGCTTTATATAAAAGTCGCCCCGCTCGAGCGTCGAACTCCACGCTCGAGCGTCACTCACAGATCCCCGCTCGAGCGTCCAATCCCCCGCTCGAGCGGCGGATGCACGCTCCCAGAACTTGCCCAACACAGCCCAAAACTCTAACACAAAGAGTAAGGGATAGAAATGAGGATAAGATAACAACGAATCTACGGAACCGAGTCCGGATTACAGTTAAACAATAACAGGGAATACCGGGATCGCTATAACCTCCCCCCCTTAAAGAATTTCGTCCCCGAAATTTAGAACACGCCAAAAGCACAAAGCCAATTGATAGCACAGCAACCAACCCCCGAGTACTAGGAAAGAAACTATTCTCCCTACAAACTTTCGATTCACTCTTACCAAGGAAGAGACTAACCAAGGGAACACGTTCCAAATGACAATGCTGTAGGCATAAAGCCACAATAAAATCAACCCTTCTGAAACAGTTTACTCACATCTGACCAGCGCTTCAAGCTAAGTCACTATGCAACAACACGACCCAAACAACTTTTGGAGTAAATAATAAGAAAACATTTTCTTGCTCAAGAGACATTTCTCAAAGATAGCCAAATTTTCAATGCTGACATTGCGAAATAAATTTTGCATTTTCCATGCGAAACTCAAAAACTTTGTATACATTTTCACCAACACGATGTTATCCAAAACACATAACCATCCACAGTTTATTTGCCAAAAAGATTCATTTGGAATTCCTCTAAACCCTTGAATTAAATCAATTTCTCAACAACATCTTTAGGTGGCCCAACCACCAGAAAAATTTTGTTTTCCATTTCTTTCCAAAATAATACCATCAACAACCATCACTCACACAGTGATGCCACAACCAACACAGAACATAACATTTTTATAATGATAGTTATAGAAATAACAATTGTGCTATCAACACACAAGGCATAAGAAATTCATGATTTTGCAATTTCGTTCCACCTTCCTTCACTTAATCAATTTAAAATCATAAACATGGCTCAGAACCTGGCCAACAATTTAAATGAGATAGTAACTCATATAAAACATTTTTCACTTCACAATAGATAAGCATATGAGCTATATCAATCTTTCAACAGATACACATTTTGGTGCTGTATCATCGAAGTCCATCCCGTATCTCCTCCCAAACAATATACATATATAATGTATAAAAAAAAATCCAATCATTCACAATGATCATTCAATACACGAAATTGCTGTATTATTATAACCGTCATATTCAATGACACAACCAGATGATTAGTTTCGGTTTTCCTCAATCAACACACAAAGTCTACAACGAATGAGACTAACCTCACGGTGATCGATGTCAACCCAAAACCCGATACCAACATGCTGACTAATCAACTCAACAAACCATCACTCTTAGTAAGCAACATACTGAAGTGCCGCTAACCCCAAACACGGAGTTCCCCACACAAGCCTCCAAATTTGAAATCTCAACGGATCTCCTAAAATCAAACCACAACAACACTGTGTCTAAGGGAATTACTATCCCCCCCCCATGGCTACGTAGCAAGCCTGCTCATCTCCTCGACCGAAAACTGACTTGGTAAACCTCAATTACTACAACCCAATCACGAAGGGCAACTTGACCGATGCTAATCTCTCCACCCTAGAACACAACCTGTTCTTCCTCTTAAGAATGCTGCCAGCATCCACTCACAAACCATACCCAACAACTGATAGCCAATCTCAATACAAACACTACCCCTATACAACCGATGGGGTCACCACGGACCTCTTAACTAGCAAAGCCCAAAACACAAATCAACATATAGGTACCAAGCAAGCAAGCAACAACATCAAGATCATTGATCCCTTTAACAACTTCTCAATATAAAAGAGAGCTTAAAACCCATACATACTCCCCAATACCTGAGGATTAAACAAACAACACTATGCGTACATGAGCGATACATAAACATGGTGCCTCAGCATCCAACAGTACACCGGTCAACAACAGAATGATTCATATAATACATCACCGGTCAATAACACAAAAATCCCCCTCCAGGGTAATACCAAAGGACTAACTAATAAGTCGCCCCTCGCGAGGCTCCCGAAGCCTGGCCTGACCGTTTCTGGTACCGATAGCGTCCTTGACTGGACGGGTACAACTGAGTCTGACTGGGTTTTGAAACACCCGAAGAACTTACACGCAAAGGACAAAAACGTCTACCATGGCCCAGCTGACCACAAGTAAAACAACCACCAGACCCCCTACTCTGAGACTGGTCTGAAACCTGCACCTCCCTGGACCTCCCAACAGAAGAATCCGAAATCCCTGGCGAAGAAAAGGAACCAGCCCCTGACTGAGCATGTTTCCGCCTCCACCCCTTACTGAGCCTAGAGCGCTTAGGAACCGTAGGACTTACCGAAACGGTCTCCTCCTTAACCCCATCATCATTCACCACCATGGCCTCCACATGGGCCGCTGCCTCGACTAAATTATAATAATCCTTCCAAAAGGATCCAGCTACCTTCTCCCGAATATCAAAACACAACCGCCTTTCAAACTCAAAACAACGACGCTCCTCTGTTGCCACCAACTCTGGAGCAAACCTCAACAAGCTAGCAAACCGCATCTCAAACTGTGCCACAGGAGTATCATCCTGACGCAACTCCAAAAACTGATCCCTCAACCTTTCCCGAGCAGAAGGAGGGAAATACTTGGCCAAAAAGGCCTCGGTAAAAGCAGCCTACGTGCCACCTACCGTACTCTTAGCATACTTCCACCAATAACTCGCATCTCCCTTCAATTGAAAAGTCGCCAAAGAAACCCTCAACTCCTCCTCTTCAACTCTGAGCATATCAAGAGTCTTGGTAATCTGCTCCAACCAACTCTCTGCCTCCAACGGTTTAGCCTCCCCCACAAACTCTGGTGGGCCAGAGCGAAAAAACTCCTTAGTAAGCTTGAGAGCATGCCCGCTGCCGCCCTCAGTGCGAGCTAGGGCATCTTGCACTGCTCTCACAATCTCACGTGCGACGTCCTCGCCGACAGCCGATGCTGCAACGGCGGGTGCTAAAGGAACTGCTATACCCCTACCGACACTCCAACTACTCAACCGTCCTCTACTTCCTCGTGTAGACATCCTATAAAGCACAAAATAAATTACACTTAGTGTATACCATGATAGCC